CGCGTCCCCACCGCCCCAGCTCTCTGGCCCTCGGGCGCCCGCGGACAGAGGCGGGCGAGAGCGGGTGTGGCCGTGGGCGCGGGGCGGCTTGGAGTGGGGTGGCCGCACTTCTGAGCTTCCAGCCCCACAGCCAGGGCGCTGGCTGCAGCTGGTGACCTTGGGCCGTGCCACCACCCCCCACATCCGCCACCCACGGCCCTGTCCCGGGAGCACTGCTCTTCTCCAGGGACCCTCACAGCCTTCCCCGCAGGGAGGCGACCTGTAGCTGAGACGTCCCTGCGACCCGGGCCCCTGCTGTCTCTAGGCCTATAGCTGTCCCCGGTTAAGCACAGGAACTGTCATGTTCTTGGGGCATCAGGGACTGAACTGTTCTGCAGACCGCTCCTCCTCCTCCTTCTGCCACTGAGCCAAATCTCCCCATCCTTCAAGGCAGCCCTCTTGTCCAGAAACTTCCGAGTGTCCATCCCTCACAGACCTGGCTCCTGGGCTGGGCCTGCTTCCTTTGCCTGCTGGCACTCAGCTGGCAGGAAGCTCAAGGGGAGGGCCTCACTGGGACTGAGTCCACAGCCTCTGGGCCTGACTGATGGCAGAGGGGCTCCAGGCCTCCTGAAGAGATGAGCCAACAGTTCCAAGTTGTAGCTTTGCAGCTGCAGGAGCCCCAGCAGAGCAGCCTCCTGAACTCCAGCAGTAAAGGCACGGCCTTCCCTCAGTAACTGGGACCTACCCCTCCTAGGGACTCTAAGAGAAAAGCCCAGGCCTTCTGACCTCTGCAAGGAGGGTCTCTGATGGTCTGCCTCAAAACCTTCATGCTGTAGCTTCAACCATTCCCAGCCCAGAGACTTCAGCTCACCCCCTCCATTGCACCCCACTGCACACAGTGAGGTCTGGGGGCCTAAGCCCAGAGGGACCTGCCTGGTTATACAGTGGGCCTACTCCTCTCCCTGCCTGCCCTCCTCAGGAGAGGCTAGAAAGCCACCCCCACACAGCCCTGAACCACAAGCACAAGCTGCAGACCAGGCACCTGCTCTAAAGCACACCTTGGCAGCGTCCTAGCAGTGTGACCTTGGAGAGCTGCCTATACCACCTCCTGCTTCAGTTTCTTCATTTCTAAAATGGGGGTGGGCTGGCACTTGCTGAGTGGCACGGGGCTGTGCTTAGTGCACCTGCCAATGGAGCCTGAGCCCCAGGTATCTGGGCTCAGAGCTGTCTCTACTAAATTTGGGGTGTTGCTACCCAATCTCCTTTCTTCTTTCCCTCTTTTCTCAGCAGTCCAGGAAGGAATGATAGAACTTTCTGAAATTCAGGCCCAGAAGAAGAAGGACACACTTGGGGTAAGATAAGAGGCCTTGAGAACATCCTTACTGTCTGCTTCCACCCCCCTTCTTGGGAAAAGACCTGGTCCTGGCTTACAGAGAAGGAAGTCTGTGGCCCAGGGAGGAGGGCCCAGTCTCTGCAGGCTGGCTTTGGGCTGTGTGGCCCTGGGAAGTGCCCTCCCCTCTCAAGTGCCGAGTGAGATACCCAAGTTCTTATCCCATGGGGCTAGGTTCGGAGGCCCCAAGTGCATCCATCCTAGGAGCCTCCATAAAACAAAGATACTAAAGCAGGCAGGCGCCATGACGGGCCCAGCACCTTCAGACTCCTGGGTTCCCAGGGCACCTCTGCCCCAGCCTATAGGCCTCAGCCCATGTGAACCTCACAGGCCTCAAAGGATAACCACAGCACTGTCCCCAGCCACTGGGATGGAGGCCAAGGACCCAGGCTGCCCCATGCACCCCTGCCCTGTATCCCTAACACAACATGGTGCAAAAGTCAAAGTCCGGAGCTGAGACCCCTTCTCTAGCTCTTGCTGAACACAGAAAAGGGAATGGGAACGGGGGCATGGGGTGCCTGGGAAGTCCTGGAGCCATCAGTGGCACTCCAGATCCTGCACCTCCACCACAGTGCCATGTGTCAGGCATGCCTCACTCACCATCTCTCGTCCACTCCCCCCTCCAGGGTAGGGACCTCTGGACCCATGCCACAGGGGAATGAACACACAGGGTACAAGCCTAAGACCCACCAGGGCACAGAGCTATGAGGCCCTGGCTGAGCCCAGCTCCTTGGATGCCCCATCCTCATGCCTGGCGTGGATGTGTGGCTGCAGTCTGGTCTGCCCAGAATGCATGTGCCCAGGGAAGGGTCCTGCAGGCTGGTTCTCCCTGGCTGCACTGAAGAACAGTGCTCTATGGCAGCCAGGACTGAGCACAAATCCCAGTGACCAGGCATGGGCACTGCCTCAGTCCCCCGGAACCCAGCTGCCCAACTGCCCGAGCACTCCTGGGAGACTCCAGTGGGATAGCACTTGAGGCCTGGGGTTTGGGAGCCAGGCTGGTTGGGGGGAGCTGGGGCCAGGAGCTTGGCAGGGTCCCAGCTGCACCAGTGAGTCCACAGGGTGCCAGGCCCACAGCTGCCCGCCACCACCTAGGAGAGCGCCAGCCTGGGAGCAGTGCCTAGCCTGCAGGGCTCCTGCTGTGGGCACTAATTACCTTATCAGCCTCCTGGGCAGTGGGGAGAAGGGGGCTACTGCCCACTGTGCTGGGGGTAAGGCCAGGACCTGTACCTACAGCCTGGGCACTTGCCCCTCACCAGTGACGTAGCTGGCCAATCACTTCATAAGTGCTTAGCTCAGGGTGGGGGTGCAGGGCCTCAGGCACATTCTAGTGTCCCTCTGGCTGTAGCAGGACTGGGCAGTCTATCAAGGGAGTATCCTCAGCCCCCCAACATGCAGCTCAGGGACAGGGACCCTCTCCTTGCTTTTCCATGCCCTCAATAATAATGGCTTCCATTCTGAGCTAAGGGCTTTCTGGCATTTTATCATTCAATTTTTGCAACTATCCTCAAGTCAGCTTTGTAGATAAAGAAAGCAAGGCTCAGAGAGGTGGCGATTGTCCAGGGCCACACAGCGGGACAGCAGTAGGGCCTAGATTCCAGTTTTTATCTGTTGGGCTGTCTTTACACCCAGGGCCTATGCCATCTAAACCCTGACTAAATCACAGGTCCAAAGTGGCCCTAGAGGGTAGCCAGACATTGAACAGAGCCTGATCTGTCCTCAGCCATCCCAAGCCAGGAGAAGAACCCAATTAGTGAAGGATTCCCAGGAGTAACCCGAGCCCTCCTTGCTGCACTGGACATCAGCTGAGGACTGGCTGGTCTTTAGCAAGACGGATGGAAGGGTGGTCCCTGACCTGAGGACCCTTGCTTATATCCTAGACATACATGTACCAACCTGGGAAAGATCAGAAAGCCTCAGCGAACCTTTCAACAAAACCTCTAGGAAACATCCTCTTACACCAGATCCCAACTCACATCTGGAAGTTCTTCCCCAAGTCTGACTGAAATATGTCCTGCTTCAGGGGCAACTGCTCCCATCTCTGCAACTCCGGCAGGTCATTCCCTCCTCTCACACGCTGCAACTGCTCCCACACGTGGGAAACCATTTGCTACCTCTTTTCTAAGCTATAGAAACTTGGAATATCTGGGTCAGAGAGCCAGGCCCCCCCTTCCTAGGCTCAGGCCTGAAGAATCTGGGTCAGTTACTCCTGCTCCCCACTCCTTTTGGCCCAGGGTGAGAGGAGGAGCTGGAGCAGTAACACCTGCCAGGACCAGAGGAGCAGAAGACCCTCCCAGTCTGAGAGGAGTTGGTCCCCAGGGGTACCTGGGACCCTCAGATAGGGACTCAGGATGGGTCTAGCCACTGCACAGCCCTCCGTAAGCCACTAGTGAACCTCACCATGGTCCCACTCAGCTCCTGCCAAGGTCACCGAGCACCTCCGTGTCAACAAGCCAAGGGCCATTTCCTGTTCCGTTTATCCCATCTCTGAGTTGTTCATAGTCCTGAGCCAACATGTGCCACACAGCTGTGGCCCTGAGTGCACGTCCTAACACATGACAGTCCTGAAGACACCCACCACTGGCACACCAGTGGGGACAGGTGCTGAGCTAAGATGCCATGGGAGAGCAGCCGAGGAAGGAAGGGCACCCCCAACCTCCCTCCTCCCCCTCTTCCTCCAGGGCAGAGAAGCAGAGGCCACACTGCTCCCAGGGACTTGCTAAACCTCCCTGAGCCACTTCCCCACTCTGTGCTCTGCCACCCTTGGGCCATGAACCCTACTTCCTGTGACCCAACCAGCAGCCCCCTAAATCCAACAGTGGCCACAACTCCCAGGGCAGCCCCTGACCCAGTGCAGATCCCCTCTTCACTTCACTCTCAGCTTCTGGTGCAGGGCTACAACCTTGTTCCCATGCCCAAGGTGTGGGTGATTCAGAAAAGGCCACACCAGCTAGGGAGGGGTCAGCAGGTAAAACAGGGTGGGCAGACCTCCAGCCCTCTTAGACCAGATCACTTCTTTGCTGGGCTGGTGGGCCCAGCATCCCACTCTCTCTGGGAGCCCCTGTCTGCCTGGCAGACAACCCTGGGCCTCTGTGCCCCCTGCCCAGCTACATCAGGAGAACAGCCACTGAACCCTGAGGAGGGCTGGGTTTATAGCCCATGGGACATCAGGTAATAGTGATGGAGAGGGCATGCAGAGAGCCCATCCACCCATCCACCACAGCAGTGCCTTCGCTGTATTCATGATGCCTCCCGCCAGCCCACGAAGCAGGTGCTATTATGAGACTGTGCGCTGTCGG